GTCTATCGGTCATGTGGGTTTTTTTTAATAGGATTTACTTCAAGTATGTTAAATAATATTCCATTTATTTTATTATATGTTCTTATTTATATTATAACAAGTATTAATTTATGGACTTCATATTTATCTTTAAATATAAATCATAAACCAATTAAATATTTAACAGATTTATCAAATATACATACTATTAATAAATTAATTTAGTCGTGAGGTACAAGAGCTCTCTACTGCACTAACTGCGTCGAGTACGACGCATTCTAACCAAGCTATCGATGATAACGGCATGTAGCGCTAAACCACGAGTTCATAACGGGGCTGGATGGTTTCGGGTTGGAATTCAAGCTAACTGATATGTTAAATGGAATGTCGACGGCGTTGACTATTGCTGAGGGTATTGACGCTACGGCTGCTATGATCACGCAACGGTTAAGACAAAACTGCAACAATTCACTCTACTTAATGAATGCAAACGGGAAAGAACAAGTCCCAGTTGTCTTTTTGACCGAACCAAGTGAGCTGCTAACTTTGAATGGAAATACCGCAAACCAACTCGTAACTTCTTCGGTTATAAACACACAAGCAAGTGGAGACTTCATCTATGGACGAGGAGTGAGCGCAGATGTACCCACTTACTTGCAACATGATGGAATTGTACGTAATTTTTACTTCCCTCGAACCAAAATTGAGCAACTTGTTGGTCAAATCTGGGACCAATTTGACGAACAAATTCGAGCTTCTCACAACCGAAATTCCACTTTTCGTCTCTCAAATGAGGGCGCTATGAGCTCTTGTGGAGCGTCACTGACTGTGGCGCCTGAGTAGTTCTTACAATGCTCTCGAGACAATCGCGCAGATTGAGTAGAACTGGTCTACAACTTCTTGAACGGTTTAGAACGTTACAGTTCAAAGTCAAGTGTATGTCGGTTGTTCTATCTCGTCTTGAACCAAGAACTCCCCATTGAAGCACGGAGTGATCAAATGAAAGAACTGACGAAGCTTCACGAGGCTCTGGCAGTCGTAGACCGAACACTTATCTAGTTCTTTTGACGACTCGAGAATTCGCTATCTCCAGGTCGAGTAGTACTAGCAAATGTGTTCAAACCCTTCATCTGGCATTCCCCTGGAAGTCTGACGCTCAGCTAAGTCAACTGCATCGTTGAGCGTTCGAAATTTCGGACACCTCGCGGTCAGGACTGGCGTGTCACTCTTAGTCGAGTCCCTCATCTTGGTCATATCCAGCGACAGACTTGCGTTCATCACCAACGCGTCCTTGAGCTCTTCCTTTGTCCTCTGTATATTCACGAGGTTGTTGCCTGGACTACTGTACAGCAGTCGATGATGCATTGCGAGACTCACAGTATGAGCACTCGTTTTGACCCCTTTCAATGTTTTTTTCTTAAACGTTTCCTGCGTCGTGCTATCTCCCAAGATTTCCGTTTGTGGTTTATTGGAATACGGACAAGACGCTCCAGGTTTAAAGTGTATCTGCGTCAAATCGTCTTCTCGTTTGGAATTAGGGAGGAGCTCCTCACTGCGCACAGTTGTGAGTGACGGGACGGAGGACGTGAGTAGCGAACGTGACGAAAGTCGTAGATCTTTCATCGACTCGGACGCGTTGTTGTTAACACCGAGAAGCACTTTAAGGACCACTAAGAAGTCTCTAATTGAGCCTGTGGCTGCGGCAAGGTGGATCAAGCCATTCACTGCGTTAGTACGGTCCATTACATCCTGTTCCGTGTTTCCAGACGAGATAGCCGGTAGTTTGGGGGACGTCGTAGGGAGTGTATAGGAGCGTGGACACATATCCAGCAAGAAACGCTGGATCTTGTCCGTAAACTCCAAGATCTCAGCTTCGGGTGAACATGTAGCCATACTGCGTGATGAGCCCCGAACAATACCACTATGTCGTCTTGAACAGAGAGCTAGAAAGCCCATGGAGCGTAGAAATGGCAGTAGGTCTTCAAGAAACTCGCGTCTTTGAGTCACTGTAGCATCGTGTAAGTCGTTCAGTAAACACACGAGCACTTGGATGCCTAGTGTTGCTTCCCTCGTCACTTTGTCCTTAGGTTTGGTTGGTCCAAAAAGGCCGACCGGGTCTTCTACAGTATCCGGCGGTAGTACAGTGTTCTCCAAGCTTTTCGCGATGGATATATTCACTTGAACTGCTGCTATCCAGTGTCGATGCTGAGCAGCTACCGCCTCGTGCATGCTCTTCATTAATTGACGACGTAAGGCGATTAGCTGGTAGATTGGATTCGGGAACGTGCAGACCCAACGCAGTGCCTGTTTTAGGTCGGCTACCATGACGGCGGCCAGTTCTGGCTGCCGGAGGCGTCCGAGCACACACAGCGCGTTCGTGAGCTCCCGTTCACTCCGGTCTTCATTGTCGGTGGCTGCATCCGTCGTCGTGTCCTCTTTCGCGTCGAGTTCGTCGTCTTCCGACACCCCTCGGGCCGCTTTCGTCTGTGCCGCAAGCAACCATTGACGAATGGTCCTGTCCGGCACTAAGAGCACCGTCTCATTATGTGCCGAGCGACCTGTTCGACGGGCGCCTTGCGTAATTTCGATGCGTCTCAGTTGTTTGGCCAGGAATTCCTCGTCTCTCAGCTGGGCGAAGGTCAGACGACCCCACCGCAAGTCTGGACGTCCAGTAGTATTGGATGCGGCACTACGAGGCTCGTAGCCGGTGCCGGTGGCCGTCCACGCGTCGCCACGCTGCATGGTGTGAGTCCTGCGATCACGAGAGGGAAATAGAACGACCGTTGGCCAAGTGCCTTCTCGCCGACCCTCCGATCGGACGATTTCAGCTCGATCTCCGTGCCATTCGGTCACCACCGAAGGTGCCGGATTCGAAGCAGAGCAATCCAGTCAATGACTTGAGCTCGCCACCTTTGTTCGCACCATCGTTTGAAGAAGATGACAATGCGCTCGTTCTCGTCACTTAACAATTTACTGCGTTGTTGCATGCTTCATCAACGATGACGCTGCCTAAGACACTTTTCTCGTTTTTCAGTCTCGTTGTAGCACTGCAAGTTGCCTCGGGGATCGAGTACACTGACACCGGCATCGCTATTGTCGGTACGACGGAACTTCTGGACGTCAACGTGACGGCCGGAACTTCTCACGAAGATCTCATCTCATACGAGTTCGCGTCTTATATCGCCGTCCATTTCGCCGGCTTTAACCTGCCGGAAGGAGATTCGGTGGTCAT